CCTGCTGATTTCATTGCTCGTCAGACTGGAGAATTTTCTTTAGCATTTCTTAAAGAACAGGTCCAGTGGCAATCAATTCTTTAAGTTTCTTTCTGTAAATATCTTTATTTCACCTTCATTCTTGAAGAATATTTCCCCAGACAAAGAATGCAGGCTAGTCTTTCTCTTTCTTTAAGCATTTAAAGCTGTTGTTCATTGCCTGTGGCCTCCAGAGATAAGAAGAGCATACTCATTCTAATCCTTCTCCTTATATAACATGTCATTTTGCTCTGAAGTCAAGTTTCTCTATCTTTGGCTCCCGTTGGTGTGGCTGTGATGTGCCTAATCATGGTTTTCTTTGAATTTATCTTGCTTTGGAGTTCATTAAACATCTTAAATCTGCAAGTTTATGTTTCTTACCATATTTGGTAGGTTTTCAGGCATTATTTTTTCAAATATTTTTTTTAGCTCCACTCTATCTTATCCTTCTGGGACTCCTTTTATCTGGATGTTGGAACTTTTGAAATTATCCCACAGGTCCCTGTGGTGCTTTACCAGGATTCATTCTCTCTCTCTCTTTCTCTCTCTCTCTCTAAATTTTAGGGGTTTTTTTGTTTTTTTGTTTTTTTTAAATATATTTTATTGATCTTCCACAGAGAGGAAGGGAGAGAAACAGAGAGCCAGAAACATCGATGAGAGAGAAACATCGATCAGCTGACTCCTGCACATCTCCCACTGGGGATGTGCCCGCAACCCAGGCACATGCCCTTGACCGGAATCGAACCTGGGACCCTTCAGTCCACAAGCCGACGCTCTATCCACTGAGCCAAACCGGTTTCGGCTAAATTTTAGTTTTCAATTACAGTTCAGATTCAGTATTGTTTTTTATTAATTTCAGTTACAGCATAGGGGTTAGACAGCCATATACTTTATGTTTTCTCCCCAATCTTTTCAGTACCCCCGGCACCGTACATAGTTATTACAATATAAGTGGCCCAGTGTATGGATTCATGCACATTGAAAGGAAATTAATTAGAAGAAATATTTTAATATCACTATTCACCCTTTCTCTATAATAGAAGTGTCAGAGATGAAAGAAAATTATTGAAATGTATATGAAAATAATATATAAATTGATTAATAATAAACAGTAACAACATGATATAACAACAGCAAAGACATACTATAACAACAACAAAGACATGATATAAAAACAAGTGATGATAAATCTAGTACCATTACAAAGGCCCCATTTACTATTAAGATTTCTCAGTAGCATGATGATTGCACCTACTTTCAATTTTAGTTTATGACATGGCATTCCCGAAGGAGTAATACTATTAAGAAATTCAATGGGAAAATTTTCCTTTTCGGCATCATCCGTTGAATCAATAGAATCATCACTCAAATAGGTGTGAACATCTCCATCAAGTATATCCAAAATTTCTTCACTTAATTTATGAACGTGTTCATTTTTAGGACAAAAAATCGCACGTTTAGGACAAAGAATCACACGTTTAGAAAAACAACCAAATTCATGATCGACAGTGACAGATCGAAACACAAACATGCGATTAGCACCTGTGAGAGCTTTATATGTTTCGCGCACATGCAAGTCAACTTTTATGTATATAGAATAAACTTTATTCTTGTTCTTTCGCCCCATTTCTTTTGGAGCCGCTGGTTTTTCTGAGGTCTGAGGATCTCTACAGGACTTGACCAGCCCCCCTCAGCCCAAGTTATATATATATATATATATATATATAAATAAATTGATTATATCCCCTATGTTGTACTTTGCATATACCATAAAGTACTCATACAACTCAATGCCAAGAAAACAATTTAATTAAAAAGTGGGCAGAGGACCTGAGTAGACACTTCTCCAAAGAGGGCATAGTACAGATGGCCAATAAGCATGTGAAAAGATGCTATTATCACTAATCATCAGAGAGATGCACATTAAAACACAATAAGATATCACCTCATACCTGTCAAAATGTCTATCATCAATAAATCGACAAACAATAAGTGTTGGTGAGGATGTATAGAAAAGGAAATCCTCTTGCACTATTGGTGGAAGTGCAGTTTGTTGTAGCCACTGTGGAAAACAGGATGGAGGTTCCTCAAAAAAAATGCAACTGCCCTATGAGCCAGCGATTCCACTTTTAGGTATATACCTGAAAAAAAATACTAGTTTGAAAAGATAGATGCACCCCTAAGTTCATTTCAGTGTTATTTACAATAGCCAAGATACAGAAGCAACCCAAGTGCCCATCAATTAGATAAAAATGCTGAGGTACATACCTATAATGGACTACTACTCAGCCATAAAAAAGAAGGAAATCTTACCACTTGCATCAGCATGGATGGACTTAGATATTTTTATGCTAAGTGAAATCAGTCAGACAAATACCATGTGATTTCACTTATATGTGGGATCTAAAGAACAAAATAAACAAAATAGAAACAGACTCATAGTTACAGAGAACCGACTAATGGAGGAGGGTTGGGGGACTGGGTAAAAAATGTGAAGGAATTAGGTACAAATTAGTAGTTGCCTCTATTCTTTAGACTGGATGGTTTCCATTCATGTATCTTCAAATTTACCTATTTTCCTCCATCATCTCCATTGTACTATTGATATTTTTAAAAATTTTCAACTGAGCATGGTTAAGTTAGCTTTACAGTTGCTGTCTGCTAATTCCACCATTCTGACTATCTCACAGTTGTTACATGTTGATTATCTTTTCCTTTGAGAATATGTGACATTTTCCTGGCTTTTTATATGTTGAGTAATTTTGGACTGCATCCTAGACATTGTGATGTCATGTTGTGGAGACTCTGGATTTTGTTATATTACTCCAAAGAGTTTTGATGTTTATTTACTTAACAGGCACTTAACTCAATTAGACTCCAAGTAAAATGTACATAAGAAGTTAAATTCCACTCCAGCCTGTGCCTTTATGCAGGACTTCCTTCTTCTTATCAAGACACAAGTCTTCATTTGCATTTTGAGAATCTCCACCCCTTAAACACAAATATTGTTCTCACTCCACCAAAGCCATTGCTTACTCCAAGAAATGCATGTTCCCATGTCTTCTCTTTAGACGGGGCACAGACTATAATGGCATCCGAGCCCTGTAGGGTAGGCACAGGCACCTTCTTATCCCTCCATGGTCTTCCTATGAAATTGAGCCATGCCTATCGATTCTTACAACTTCCCAGTATGTACCTGCTGATGCCACTATCTCAGTCCCCAGCCACCTAACCATATATTGTACTACCCACATCACTACTTAACTCTTCAAGGATCAAATGTTCATTTTAAGAGATCATGGAATATCGACTCAAAACAAGGAAGAGGTTCCTTTTTCTCACGAATCCCATAATTAGCAAGACACCTTCTCAGGTAGAGGTTAGCCCTCTCCTTCCTGTGTGAAGAGTGTTTCCAACTTTCGTAGATAAATACATAGCTAGCTTCGGGGATAGTTTTCTCCTTAAAGAATAATCGAAACTGCACTTCTCTCCCTGTAATGGCGATAAACCACAGCACAGGATGTGCACCGCTCTGCCCTGCCCGGAGACCGAGTACCTGTGCGTCTCGGGCACTGAGAGGAGCAGAGTCGTGAAGAATGCAGGAGCGTCAGATCGGGGTCTCTGGCACCGCTGCAGAGGGGCCCAGGCTTCGTCCTGGGAAGAGCCGTGCATTTCTCATTCTGTCCCACGTCATCGCTTTCTGAGACGCATCCTTGACAGATGACTGGATAATTCAACCCAAGATTTGAAGCTTGACCGCGTGGTTTGGTCTTGTTTTATGTCGTTCTCTCCTCCCCACGCTATCCTGAAGCTCAGTGAATTCTCACAAACCACCTTCAAATTGCATCGTGTGTGGTGGACGTAAACGCTGTGCTGTGTTGGAAAGGCTTAAACAGAACACATGCTGTTCTCTTTGGGTGGCATTTATTTTAAAAAACAGCAGTAATTTTTAAAAGTTCAAAAACATTCCCATTCGTCCTTGCACCAGACTCTTGGGTGAGGGTTACTGTGTTTTATGGGCGTTCAGAAATGCAGGGTCGGTAAAGCCGCCCGCACCAGGCCTCCGCACAGCTCCAAGCACAGTGTGCACAAAGCCCTGACTACTGAGCCCTAGACGAGTAGGACTCATCTCAGATTTCTTAATCCTTCAACTAAAAGAATTCTCTGTATTTTAAAAAAAAAAGAATTCTCTGAGCGGATGGTCTGGGTGATGGCAAAGTCGAGAGTAAGCCCTTCAGACAAGCTGGCGTGCACTGAAGCGTGCGGGGCTCTGTGCCCACACACAGGGCTTTGCAGAAGGGGCCGGTGGCTGCATTGTTGTCCCGCCTGCACCTGAGAGCAAGCCCTCATGCCCTCTAACAGCATCGGGTCCTTTTGTAACAGCACTGGGTCTCTCTCATTCAGCTGCTCCCTTTATATGCTGAAATATTAATTGGCTCTGCAACTGAAACCCATGTATCACTCTAATGGATCTTCCCTTCTCTCTCCAGAGGTGTAATAACTAGATGTTTGGCCTCTCAGCCTCACGCTAAAACTTGTCAGGCCTCAGAAGGCAGTACTTAGCATTTATCGTTTCCATGAGAATATGAGATCACCGGTGAACCTGACTTTCTTATTACTGGTGCCTCTCTGTGTCGCTTGGTAGGTTGGGTGGGAATAGAAACCAGTTTTGACTTGAAGAATTTTCTAGACTCCCTTTGAATTAGGTGACTGAAAGCTATCAACCAGTTCTGTCTTGTTCAGTCATTGCTTCCCAATGGCTTGATGTGTGGAAGCTTCCTATTCAGTATTTGTTGAGCTGGTTTAAGTGGAATCGCTGCAGTGTCCATTGAGATCAAGCAGAGGCGGTGCTTACACCGACACGAGTGTTTCTGAAATTCTTTCCAATCATCTCCGCCCCCGAGGAGCCCCTTGCACTGTAGCTTAGAAAACAGCTGGTGCGCTGCCCGTAGTCCAGAAAATACTTCTTAAACAACTTCATATTTATTGGATCCTTGCTTTTTTTGGTTAAAGCTTTACTTGAATTCTCATTCATTTAGTCTTTCAGCAAATGGTTGTTAAGGCACAGTAAGAGATTTTGGAGAAATACTGATTCAAGGAAGTTGCAGCCTCCTGAGGAAACCTGACAATAAATAGATAATAACAGTAAAGTGAGGTGAGTGCTGTCGGGCTGTGTAGGAAGACCACGTGAGCTGGTCTTGTGAGTATTCTAGTAAGGGTTTTGGGGGGAAATGAGGCATGACCAAGACTTAATGAATGAGTAGAAGTCAGCCAGGTGAAGGGGATGGAAGGACCACTGCAAGCAGAAGGAGCAGCATGTTGAAGTTGAGAGAGATTGTGTTGTACTCGGTGAAGTGCATTTTGTATGAACTTTGAGAAGTGAGGCTGCAGAGGTGAGCAGGGCCCTTGTATAATGGGTTGAGAGGTCATGTTCATATTCTGTTGCTGCAAAAACAATTACTACAGATCTGTCATCTTAAAACAACACACATGTCTTGTCTAAAGCCCTGGCACAACGTAGCTATGTTCTCTGCTTTAGGGTCTCACTAGGCTGCACTTCACGTATCTGCTGGGGCTGTCGTCTAATCAGAGGCTCAACTGGAGAAGCTCCTTTAAGTTGTTGGGAGTTTTCTGAGGCTGAAGGATTGAGGCTTCTGTTTCTTACAGGCAGCTGATCTCGGTCCTAGAGGCCACCTCGTCGCGAGGGGTTTTTCCAGCTTCAGTACTTACTACATGGCAGCTTGCTCTTCCAGGACAGCAGGGGAAAAGTCATATGTATCGTTCCATAATCATAGGTGCAACGTCCCATCATCCTGCAAGTTACAGGTCCCTCTCACACTATCGGAGAGGGGACCACAAAACGGTGGGAGCACCAGGAGGTAGAGACCATTATGTGTGTGTGTCGGGGGTGGGGGGGTCACCATAGGCTCTATCGGTCACAGAGGTTTACACTTCATCATGGGGACTGTGGGGAGTCGTTGGAAGGTTTTAAGCACAGATTTGCTCTGTGGTATTGAGAACTCGGCTAATCCAGGAGACTAGCTAAGAAGCTGTTGCAGCAAACCATGTAGGAGAGGAGGGTGGCCTAACTAGAGGTGTGGCCATGTGGGTTGTGGAGACATTAAAGAGGTGCTATCAACAAAACCGATGGTGATTGGGCGTGGGAGCAAAAGACAGGGAAGCCAAGGACATGACGGGCAGGCGTCTGGCCTCACGGTTGGTGGAAGCAGAGAACTCAGAGCAGGAGCCACCCGGAGAGGAGGAGAGGCGGTGACTCCAGGCCGGTGGTTCGGGCTCTCAGTTGCCTGAGCTGCAACCTGCCCTGTGGCCTCCGACCACGTCTCTTTGCAAGGGGTTCTGGGTACGATAGTATTAATGGGGACAACTGGCTTAGGACTGTCAGTGCTGAGTCAGCGGGGACTCTGAACATCGTGAAGTAATTAAGGACTGTGTCCCCCCAAATGGCCGTCTCGCTGTGTGAGCTCTTTGCCGAAGGGGCTGCTGTGTGCCAGGACCCCGTGTCATGGTCACTCCTGAGAGTGTATCCAAGGGGGCTGGCTCGGTGCTGCAGCGGACAGGCCAGGGTGCACCCGAGGGTCATCGGGGTTCTGCCGTGTGCTGTTTCGTGGGGGTGAGGGTCCTTACCATTCCTGGAAAGACACTGCTCTGAGAACAGCTTACAAACAGGAATTGTGAACTGAGGTGGTGACTGGTTGGCACCTAACATGCTCTGAAGCACACTTACTTTTCTACCAAGACGTGCGAGGTGTGCAGTCCGTTTATCAAGAGAAATACACGCATGTTCAAGTAACTGTTAAAAGTTAGAATTCTTAATACTTGAGCCGTTTCAAAATGAGTAGTTCTGTCCTGCCTTTTTTACCCCTCACCACCCCCCCCCCCCCCCCCCACCAGAGTGACTCAAGCAGAGCCTGGAAAATACTGGCGAGTCACATGATGGCTAAAAATAAGCACATCGACTCCAGCAGGGACAGTAACCAGGGCAGGAGGCGCTCGCCCCGAAGGCGAAGGCTCACTGGCCTCTGTGCTCCGGTCAGGCCTCCTCCCCTCCCGGGGCAGGCGGGGCAGGAAGGGGAGCCCCAGGCACGTCAGGTCCTGACTCGGGTGCTCACTGCGTGCTCTCCGTGCTCTCGGCAGAGCTGGCCGTGGTTCTGGCAATGCCCCTCGGGCAGTGGACAGCGGCGGGGGGGAGGGACGCGCGTGACAGTGGTGTGGCCACTGCCGGCTTTTCCTCCGTCCTCTCCCCGGAGGCAGGAGCTGTTGCCTTGAGCACAGACGGTCCTGGTTGCTGTTGAGGCTACAAATGCAGGTTGTGCCAGTGGCTGGACTGGGTGCCTGCTCATGGGTGTGCATTAGGGTTTTCTGAGCTCTGCTGCACCGGAAACACAGCTGTGTGAGCGCTCACTGCTCACACCCGGGGCGGCTGCAGGGCCTCCTGCCTGCCCTCACCTGCCCCGTCCGTACCCCCAGGCAGCAGAGGGAGCCTTAGCTGAAGCCAGCCCTGTGCTCAGGCCTGCAGCAGGTCCCCTGGAATGTACCCCGACAGCGCCCTGTGCGGTGTCCTGCTGCCCTACGTGACCTCCTGCACCTCTCAGACCTCTGCCTCCGGCTGCCAGGCCAACCTCTCCCCCTCGGGTCCTTGCTCAGCTCTAACCTCAGGGAGGCCTGGAGGAGTGAGGGGACTCCTGCCCCGGCTGTGCCGTGGGGAGATGTTGGCTTCTCTGAGAAAGGAGCCTTTGAGCCAGGTGCCCCCACACGCCTGTTGTGGATCTGGTGGCCTCACGTCCGGCTGGGCTCCCACCTGGAGGACCGGTGCCCCGACCCCTGGCCCAGGCTGTGGGGCCCCTGGAAGTCCCGTGGGCTCAGTGAAGAGCTGACACTAGAGACCCCTGGTGGGCACCAGGCCTCCCCTGAGTTCCTATTTAAACTGCCCCCACTCCCCTCCCCCCGCCCCCCACATCCTTGCCCTGCTCCTTTCCTCTCCTCCACAGCACTTACCTTCTAGTTTACCAGGCCACGTGCTGAGTTATTACGTTATGCTGGTTAGTTTCCCCCGTTAGAGCGGGAATCCCCCAGGGACAGGCATCTTGGGCGTTTCCTTCCTTGCTTTACCCCCGTGCCTACAGCGTGCAGGTGTGCGATGGGCCCAGTACCCGCTGCTGCGTGGACGGAGTCGGGTGGTTTAAGCACAGGGGCCTGAGCTCCAGCACCTGGGGTGCAGGATAGAGCGTGCGTGGGGTGGGGGACCCTATGCCCCCGAGCCCACTGGTGGGTGAATTTTTCTAAAGACTTTATTTTTTTTAATATATTTTTATTGATTTCAGAGAGGAAGGGAGAGGGGGAGAGAGATAGAAACATCACTGATGAGAATCATTGATTGGCTGCCTCCTGCACGCCCCCTACTGGGGATGGAGCCCACAACCCAGGCATGTGCCCTGGCTGGGAATCTAACTGTGACTTCCAGTTCATAGGCCAGTGCTCAACCACTGAGCCTCACCGGCCTGGCTAAAGTCTCTTGAAATAAAATGAGTTTTGTTTCCTTATTATTCCAGCAGCTTAGATTTTATGTTGCTGGTGTCTGGGAATGGGACCTCTGGGTACTTTTCATCACTGGCTGAGTCAGTCCTGGAAGCTCGCACTTCCTGAGCGTTCACTGTGGGCACGGTCTCGTGTACCAGCTTCCCACCTGTTAACTCGCACTCCTCCCAGCTCTGGGAGGTGGGCACCGCT